GTAGTTGACCATGGCCTTAGGATATATTCACGGAGCTGCAATGCACGGTGAACTAGCCGTCGGTAATTAAAATAATAAATATAATAAAAAAGAGATAATCCGAATTGTATTGTCCACAAACGGTCAGGCTCGCTAAGAGCTTGAGGCGGATACATGTCTCGTATCGTTGGTTGAAGAACCAACCGAACTTCCTGAGTCTAGCGGACTGCGCCATAGCCGGCGAATACCGTCTCTCCTATTTATAAATTAAAAATTTATATTTTAGGCCATGAAAGGGGTAAGCATCTAGAATTCATCATAAAGCTCTACAATTTAGATAAAATAGTTCAGTGCAATCTAGCGGAATTTTACGGAACTACAATATAAGCATGTCACTTTGGGTAGTCCATTGTATAAAATCGATACGTCTAATGGACAATACACTAACTTTATATTTTTGGTAATTTTTTATTATTTATGTTTATTTACTAAATTATGCTACCAATTTCGTGAAAAAAAAAGAAACAAAAAACGAAATTGAAAACAAAAATCTAATTTATTTTTAAGTTTTAATTTATTTATTGTTAAGTGTTTTGAAGCCGTTGATTTTCCGAAAATAAATATTATTGCCTGAATTTTGTTGCCCAGTTTTGGTTTATTCATTTATTATTTATATTTTCTGTATGATTCAAGTGTTTGTTTATATTTTGTAAGTATTTCAAACATAAATTAGTTGTTAGAATAAACTTTGAAACTGAGCTTTTAAAGGTTAAGAAAAGAATCAGTACGTATGTAAAGACTGTAATAAGTTCCGCTTGAATTTGCTATAATTTGTAATGACCAAGCAATTAGGGTAAAGTATAATATTTTCCATATCCTGTGTAAAGTTTTGCCTTGACTCCGTATCCGTACAGTCGCCTTCAAAATCGTAAAGAAACTCCACTGTTCAACTCTGGTATGATTATTTATATAGTATGCTATGTTGAATGTATGTATGACACGTATACCACAATAGCTGTCTGTCCAGTTTCTAGAGACCGACTATCATACTACCGAGGCTTTTGCCGTCGCCAGGATGGAGAATTACACTTAGACCCGGTTCATATGCATATCGTTAAATGAGTGTTGGCATGTGACCGTCTACGGCTACGTACATTAAACAGGCGTAAAAGCTTAAAGCACAAAGTATACGAGAGTAAACAATTTATAACGTTTTGGTTGATATATTTTTACAAATAGCTCGAATGACCACCAAAATTTGAGGGTAGCTCGAATCTTCACATTAAACATTTTTTTTAATGTAATTGGCCTATACGCCCTTTCTTCCCCGACGTATCGAATATGTATAAATTCGTATATTTGTAAACACGAGTCAGTAGACAATCAAAATTTGGTTTTGGCGACTTTTTCATATACTAACCTAACCTAAACCCACAGGAGGGGGTCGCACCAACTTGGAAACGCAAACAAAAATGACCGATTTGTTTATTTTGTCTTTCATTTAATACTTTTCCCAATCTACGGCTGGTATTATATACAATACCTAGACTTTATATACAATGTCTAGGTAATGTGTATAATAGTACAAAAGATATAACTATTTTGTACATAGCCAAAAGGAGAGCCCGGCATTGTATAGAATGAGTAGGTGTTGTACACAATCACTGAATTATATTATATTACCGTTAACATATATAACTCATTAGTAGACCGAGTATAAGCTCACAATGTAAAGAGGTAAATTAAAACTACATCGCCCTAAAAAGAAGGATGGCGAGATCCCGTGTATTTTGTGACCCAGTGTTTTTGACGACGTGCATTAAGGAGACCTATCAATACTTGCGATTCATTATGAAAACATCAAAAAAGATAATTGAATATAGTTATATATATATATATATATATATATATATATATATATATATATATATATATAGGTTATAAAGTTGATATAGCTTATGTTTGTAACATTGTCCTGTATTTCGCTTCAGATGTTTGTTCGTAGTAGCAGAAAACAACAAGTTTTCAGTTTTTTCCCAAAAATAATAAAGAATTTCCCGAATATTCCCAAATCTACCAAACTCTGCCACATTTAATATAACTTGTCATATCTGCAGCAACGAAAATGAATAAAAATTAAATCTGCTAAAACGGCAGAAATCTGACACAAATGGTCACATTGTTTTCAGTATCCATGTGACATTGACATTGGCAAGAGGTCTCTTGTCAAAACGTTCCTTTGCAACTTTTATTATCTCTCACTTAAATTGTCTAAATATTTTTGTCACATTGTGTTTTATTTTTTGCTTTATGTCATTATTGTTTAATTGATTATTCCATTAGGTATTTCATAGCTTTAATTTTTTATGCGTGTACTATAAAATAACCAATACGTCAGAAAGGTAAACATTCAATCATGCGTAAACTGAAACGTACGTGGAAAAACGTTACCTAATCTATAGTCGAACTGAATCAATTGCGTCCTGTCCTTGTATCTATTCTAAAATACAATGTTTTACATTATTTTTTATTCCCGACCTTTAAAAATATACTTCTAAATATATGTTGATAACTAGGCATAAGCTAAAACGCAAAATTATGCTAGGAAAGTCCTTGAAAGGCTCTTAGTCATTATTGGGGCAGCCTTCGCCAAACTTTCTTCGGCACATGTTAGTTACGAGAATTACTCACGAGAGTATAATTTTTTTTAGTGGTCTTTGGTGTAAGCCCGTGATGACTATGTCCCGTGACACGTATGTTTGTCAGCGTTCGTAGCATTTTAAGTGAGACGACTAGAAGCTGAGTGGGTCATTGTTTCCTTAGGAGCACAGCAAACACGTTTTGTACATTTTTATTATTTGTAATTTAGTATTTTGTCTAAATCGTTATATTATTCCTATTATAAAATGCATGCATTGCATACTGTGTTGTTTTTTTAACGAAATTAATGATTTATATTTCTATTTCAATATCATTGTAGGCGACTGTACACGTTTTGATTTGAACTGTTCAGTGCAATTTCTTTTTTTATTTCCTTGTATTAATTAACGGCAAATAACATCTATTGGAATTAATTAAGCTTGAGCCCATTAGCTGCTTTGTGACGGCACGATATTTTTAACCGACTTCAAAAAAAGGAGGAGATTCTCAATTGAACTGCAAGTTTTTTTTATGCATGTTACGCGATGATTCTATCCTTTCTTAACCAATTTCGATGATTCTTTTTTTGTTGGAAAGAGGGTACCTCGGTAGTGGTCACGTTTTAATTTGAAGAAAATATTCCACCTCCAAGGATGGCACACTAGGGGATGAATCCGGTTTCGCTCACTAACCGGTAACCGATTTCAATAATACTTGGCAAATAGATGTAATTCTACAAACTTTAGAGGTCGGTTTTTAGTACTCTGTATTGAGCTTATTTACCTCCACGATTTTATATTATCTCCTTCGAAAAAAAGGTAAATAAAATTTTATTTCAACGTAAATAAATAAATAAATAAATAACGCACACACTCAACTTAGCCCCGCACTAGGGAAACCCTGTGTCGCGGGTGCCATGGACACACAGATAGACAACCACAAATTACACCCAAACTCACGAGAGAAATGAATGTAGGCCATACAAATATTTCTCCCGACCCGGGAATCGAACCTGGGACCTCTGCGTGGCAGTCCGGCATGGTAACCGTTCGGCCACGGAGGCAGTTAAACGTAAGATGGAACATGGTATTATTAAAATTACAGGCACATGGGACTTGTCAACTTATGCCTCAAGATGACGGGCGCGGTGGCAGTGCCCCTCAGATCTTTGCGAGTTAAAGCTCTTGAGTGGCACTGCAACTGTTATGGATAGGCGTGTAGCCTACTATCAGGCACACGACCAGTTCGTCCCGATATAAAAAAAATTACATAATGGCAAAATGTTACTTAAAACGAATTAAACTGTAATAATACCATTGGATAAGCACAAGTAGTCAATTAATGTCACAATGTAAGCCTTAAATGATGTATTTATAAAATTACAACAATTTTATAGCATTTTTCCATACTATGTAATATGCATTTGTAATTATAGCACTTAATACGTGACGCAAATGCCAATTAACACACAATTATGACTATAATTTATTGACCACATGACCCGGCTAAAGAATAAATAATTAACTGCGGGGTCATTTATCTTCTTTGGATTTATGGGTTTATAACATTTCACTTGTTTAATGCTATTGTGTTTTTGCAACAAACTAAGCTAGTTGTATGGTTTGTGCAATTAAGGGGTATGTATACTCTAATCGCGCTATCAGTTGGTAGTAATAATAATAATAATAATAACGCACACACTCAACATAGCCCCGCACTAGGGAAACCCTGTGTCGCGGGTGCCATGGACACATACATAGACAAACACAAATTACACCCAAACTCACGAGAGAAATAAATGTAGGCCATACAAATATTTCTCCCGGCCCGGGAATCGAACCTAGGACCTCTGCGTGGCAGTCCGGCATGGTAACCGTTCGGCCACGGAGGCAGTTAGTGGAAACTGATAACCTTCAATATGTATACTCTGATCACGGTATCACTTTCAACTGCCGTACGATTTGTAACAATCGATCGCGGGGTTTGATTCAGCCTAATAAATATTTAAAAGCCTTTTTTTTACGATCATTAGTGATGGAACGAGCGAAACGAGTCGTGCGCCTGGTGGTAAGCGGCACGCCAGCTCATAACAGTTGCAGTGCCATTAAGAGCTTTAATTCTCAAAGATCTGAAAGGCACTGTCAAGCAGTAATGTCAGCATTACTGTGTTCCGGTTTTGAAGGGTAAAGGTGCTGGTGGAATTACAGGCACATGGGACTTGTCAACTAATGTCTTAGGGTGACGGGCGCAGGGGCAGTAATTTACCATCAGGCGCACGACTTGTTCGTCCCGTCACCTGGTATTATTAAAAAAAATAGCAAATTAGGGGATGAATCGAATGTAATTCCACAAACTTTTGAGGTACGTTATACTTGTTACAGGTTCGAAATTGATCCTACGCGGTATCAGCGGCGAGTTCCGGTCTGGTCAGCTGACAGCCATCTTAGGCCCGTCCGGGGCAGGAAAGAGCACACTGCTGAACATCCTCGCGGGGTATAGGTAAATATAAAAAAAACATACCTACATTTGTGCACAATCTTGACTCCCATGTATCAGTTTACCGTGTTTACTTTGAAAATATACATTTTATTCATTGTATACATTGTACCTCCGTATTCGCATATACTTGTCATTTGCAAAGTTTGTTTTACACTAATGTTAATGGAAAACTTTAGTTTACCGAAGACTTTTTATACACGTTTCCTGACTTGTTTGTGGCGTAGTTTTCCACAATGTATTTTTTTGCGTTTTCGTAGACTACCATTTTAAAATGCGCCTACAGAAATAGCATAGTCAACCGTGATCATGGGACCTGTAAAGTGCCCGAAACGTTGGTATGTTTGAAAAAACAAATATACACGATTTAAATGCGGAAAAAATAGTTTCATTTCCTATGTGTAACCGTCGCGAAAACCTAGGAAGTTGATAGCGTTAGTATTGTTTTGGAAAAAATGACGTATATTTTTTTTCTGTGTGTCGTGTGTAGTCTAGTGACAACCGTAGTGCACAAATAAATAATGAATACCAAGAGCGGGTATTAAAAAAAACTCGCACGGCTAGAAGATTTTTACATTCGCCTCTTCAGTCCCTTCGAGACCATGGGCCTTGTTATACGTCGTTTTTATGATTATGTCCCTAAATAATAATCAAATAATGGTATTACTTGTTTTTCTAATTATATAAAAACTAACTATTCTGTGTCGGTGAAGAACATTGTACATTTCTGTGCCCGTTTTAGGCTCTTATTTATTATTTGAAAGGCGTGAAATATACCAAACGAAGACGAGGAGAGTTAAGCGACACGCCTGTCCATAGCAGTTGCAGTGGTAAATCGTAAAGACCTAAGTGATATTGCCACCGCGCCTGGTACCCTGAAACATAAGTTGATTAGTCCCATGTGCCTGTAATTTTGCACCTTTAAAAACTGTAACGCAGTAATGCTCACATTACTATGAATGGCAGAAATAGGTAAGGCAGTATTTCTCTGGATGAACTCTGACAAGGAGTAGGCGATTATTGGGATGTTCTAGAAGGAATTTCTCGCTGTAGTCGGTGTGTAGGAGAGTCATAGTGAATATCAATAATCTCTCTTAAGCCTGTTTTGTGAAGAGAAAATAAAGCATCATGTCGTTTTATTTCATTTTAATCAATTACAGTCGTAATTTCAAAATGGTGGAATTCAAAATCAAAAAAATTGTAATTTAAAAAAAAAATATTGGAAATACTGGTCTTTTTATGCATAATATTTACTTATCCATTTTAAAACGAGAATGTACTTTTTTTGTTCCATTCAGTAGTTTTATGAACTTTCAAATCGTGTTTTCTCAATTCCATCATTATGAGTTATGGCTAACGTGAGCATTTTTGTTTTTATGTTACACATGACAGGCAGACGACTTCATTCCATCTGATGTAAAATGGAAAATGGAATCCAAACGTGAAGGAAGCTAGTACAGTGTTAATATAATCACCGCCCTAGCCACCTCCATCCTGTATGTATGTATGTACAAGCCTCTTCGGTCCTAGACGCGCTTTTTTATTTCGCTCTATATTCTTTCACGTTTTTACACATTCTTTGTTTATTTATTTAGGTAAGTGGTTGTTTTTGGTTAATTTCTGCATTGTTACAATTGGTAAAACGTTATAAAATTAGTAATCCATCACCATCTACCCATTTATACGTCCCACTGCTGGGTACTTTCAGTTTCCTTGCATTTGATTAAATAATTTATTGAGATGTCATAAAAAAACCATTACCCAGTTCTAGAATATTGAAATGGTTTAATGGTATTTCAGCTATGCATCGTTGGGGTAAGTTCCGATAAGTCGAACACGTTAACTAATTTTAACTGTTGTTTAAAATAGAATGTTGTGCTCATTGACTTACAATTATATGGACGTCGGGTCCGCGCTAAAAAGTGTCCGAAATTACAGGGTGTTAAAATCGTATACAGAGCGTCATTCACGCTTTAGTCAGCGTTCTGACAGCGAAGCTAGCAAAATTAGACAGTACTGCGATGACATTACAATTTCAATTCAACGTTTTAGCTTTTTCATATTCCTTTACATGTCACTACGTTTAAATAGGTTGACTTGGGACATTTTTTTCGTGGTTTTGGTATTAGACCCGTCGTCCATTTATTTGTAAGTCAATGGTTGTGCTCTATTTTTTTCTATTTAAAACGGATATTTGACCATTTGTTTTAGTCAGAGGGCGGCAGTTTTTCCGCCACGCTTGCCCAATGCGGATTAGGGACTTCACACGTTTTCCGAGGGTTGTGAATCTTCTTCAACGCGTAGGTTTCATCACGATGTTTCCTTCACCGATAAGCTCATAATAAATTTCAAATTGTAACAAAATCACATAGCATGCAACAAAACAGATTAGTTCCGTCACGAACCGCTAGATGGCATTGGCGGCGAAATTGCAAATTCTGCATCGCGGTTCTTCCGGTGGCGCAGTCAACGCCAAAAAAAAACAATGCGAGGAGCCTACCACATACCTCATACGCATCTAGTACTGCTTCCTTATGTTAGGAATGGGTAATATAGGTTTTTCTAAATATCGTATCGAAACTATATATCAATATTCGAAATCGGATTTCGAAACTAGGTATATATTTTCTGAAACTATATATTCATGGATACAGCCTGCGTGCGCGCTGCGTTGATACATTGCCGTTACTGATATTCGAAATCAGATTTCGAAACTATATTATTGGATATAGTTTTACAAGAGCAATGCGGGCCAATGTTAGTAAACAGTTTCGAATCACGCACAAAAAATGGTTTCGCGTTGATATCCAACTCAGTAAATATCTGATACGAAGCAATATCGATATATACTTTGGAAAATATATGATTTCGTGTTGGTATTCATTCGGTAATCGCTCGGCTCAATTCGGCATTGCTAAAAAATACGCGATGCGGAGCAATATCGATATATAGTTTCTAAGATACACGATATCGGATATTCGATATTGCCACAATATATAGTTTCAATAACTTAATAAGATTTGTAACGCCCATTCCTACCTTATGCGGAACAGCGCTAAAGATCGTACATAGCTAGTACCTATCGCTAGTTACTTAAGGGTATTGTACACCTGTGGTTGCAACCAGAGTCGCTTCCTATTTGGAACGGTGTAGACTTCCGTTACGTGTTGTCTAGGGGGAGTAGTTTACTACTGTACGTTATACTGTTCTATTACTTGTTGTACCAACTGTATCAAACAATAAACATGTGCTATACAAAAGAAAGTTTGGTTGCGTCTGTCACCCGTACTACGCTTTACTATAAAATTAAATTCCGCTCATAAATTCCGAGAAGCTCAGAAGTGCGAGACCGGATTCGAACCCATGACCCTCTGCTTTAGAGGCAGTAGGTAAAACCATTAGGCTACCACAGCTTCTTAGTAACGTAATAATTACAAGAAATTGATCTTAATTATACAGACATCAGTATTTCTCTATCAGAACTTAGCATTGATTAGCATCGTTAAAAGGACATTGATTCTTGTTTAAACAATGAACATTTATGACAATTATTTGCGATTCTTACATCTATTATTCACACGTAATTAGTCATTATTAACAACCTTTATCAGAAAAACAAAGTGTAACCTGTGTTAATATCTTCCGATACCTTTAATTGAAGAGAAATTGCTGTAACGAGTATTGATGAAAGGCAGAACGAGAGTTTAGTACTTCTTTGTATTCTTTACAATACATGAAATCAATTTTATACACCTAATCAGTAACACACGCACCTTATAAACATTCATTGATACATTCATCCTCACTCTTTGCATATCTTAAATTTATTTAGTGTTACGTCTTAGACGATCTAAATACTTAGTTTAGTGCACTAATAGTTTTTATTATGGAAGATTTACTTGCCTTAATTAATTTTTCTCCTGTGTCACAAGTAGAGTGCCACAACCACATTGCTCATCTGCAGAGTGGAAGCCTGGTAACCCGGAATACAGGTGTTTCTATACGTATCTCGGGCACCAGTCCCTTGATCAATTTTTGTTTTGTTTTAACCTCAAGTGTACGGACCTCTTTTATCGTATTTATTTATTTATTACCTTTACAAGCGAAGTAATTTGCCACAAGCAGTCAACATGCACTAAAACATAACTCTTTGTTTAACTAAAATTTAAGACAAAACTAACGCTTACATTTTTGACAAATAACAATATGATTTGAAATTGATGCGTACACTACGAATTTTACGAATAATTTGACTGAACTTAATAAATTAAAAATTATTTTACGAGTCGTGAGAGGAGAGTCATAGTGAATATCAATAATCTCTCTTAAGCCTGTTTTGTGAAGAGAAAATAAAGCATCATGTCGTTTTATTTCATTTTAATCAATTACAGTCGTAATTTAAAAATGGTGGCATTAAAAATCAAAAAAATTGTAATTAAAAAAAAAAAATGGAAAATACTGGTCTTTTTATGCATAATATTTACTTATCCATGTTAAAACGAGAATGTACTTTTTTTGTTCCATTCAGTAGTTTTATGAACTTTCAAATCGTGTTTTCTCAATTCCATCATTTTGAGTTATGTCTAACGTGACCATTTTTTGTTTTTTTGTGACATGACAAGCAGACGACTTCATTCCACCTGATGTAAAATGGAAAATGGAATCCAAACGTGAAGGAAGCTAGTACAGTGTTAATATAATCACTGCCCTAGCCACCTCCATCCTGTATGTATGTATGTATGTACAAGCCTCTTCACGCCTCGTTTGAATACGTCCCGCTTTTAAGGTTCGTGTCCCACTGTCCCCAAAATATTTAACAAAACAGGACACACGACAGAATTAACTTAAAAAAATGGCGCGAAAGCGTAGCAGCAAGTAAACCTTGTCACCCGCAACTTTTGTTTAGTTAAATTTTTATCATTAGGAGTCTATACTACCTCAGCTCGAATTACAATTTTTCCCTTACTAATACGGTTCATTTTCCTTACTCTGAACGGCAGGGA